AAAAAAAAAAAAAATTCATAATAGAGATATGAATGCTTAAAAAGTTAAACATTGGGCATGTTGGGAGTTTGATAATAACACCATCTCAAACAAATTGCCTAGTTGAGGGACCAATCTAAATATTTTATTTTTGGTATATTGGAGGGTTGATTACTTGGCATTATAAAGGTTTAAATTTTTAATTTTGATTTTAAATTAAGATATTTAAATTAATAAGTACCAACCTGATCAAATTTTTATTGGTAAACCAATCTAAATATTAAACAAAGGGTTTTAACAGTGCAACAAATACATTTTTGTATTAATTTATGTACATCAAAAAATAAAAACTAATATTAATTTCAATGTTAATCCTATATATGTAGATAATTCTAATTAGATAATTAATAATATTAAAGTCAATTTTTATTTCTTTTTAAAATAAATTAATGCTGAAAAATAATATATTACACCCTTTAATTTATGCATAAATTAAATAGAGTAATATTAAAGGTAATAAAACAAAAGAAATTGAGTCACATGATATTGTAGGTTATGAAATGCCATCCTTGTTTGATGTTTCCTTTCTTCTCCTTTCTCCTGCATCCAAGCAAAGATCCAAAAAATGGTCCCCCCTGAATTCCACTTGAGCTTGGCACTCTTGTTTGGGTTTTATGTTTCAATATGAATGGGACTTTTCTTTTATGAAAAAGTTGAAAAAGTGTATCAAGTTTTAGAACTTCTCAATGCTTTTGTCTGCGTGGTATTGGCGTGGGCATGATAATATTCAATTTGTCTTACTTTGGACCACTGCCATCTGTCTTCTTCTTCTCTCTTCTTCTTTTCTGTTTTGTTTTCATAACAATAGGATGATGAGGCAATTTCCGCATACCACATTAAATCTACATTTTTTTAATTCGTTAAAAAGCATCATTATGTTAGGACTAAAGAAATTTACAAAAATTTATTTTTATTAGTTTCTTAATACTTATTAAAAATAAATCTAACTATTAAATTTAAAATTAAATAATAAATATTATTTAATTCAATATATATCTTCACAAACGCATTATTAGGTATTAATTTTTTAATTCCCTTACATGTATGATTTTTTTTTTTCAGTTGTAGAAATAGTAAACTAATTAAGCTAATTTAAACAATTATTAGTTTTAGTTATATTTAGTGTTTATTTAACCTAACTAGAGTGACTTCTTGGGTAATATGAAGTTAGGCCAGGTATATCAAACAAAAAATATATTTTTTTCTTTAAAATGTTTTTAGTTATCTATATTTTATAAGTTAATTCTTTCTTCTAAACAGTTAAAAAGTTAAATTAAAATTGTAAAATAAATTAATATTTTGTGACTAAAATTTTAATTTAATAAAAATTATCAATCTTATGCATTACCCTCATGATTTTCTATTTCTATACAATAGTCTTTTACTAGAAAATTTTACTCAATAACACTTTTAAAAAGAATAAATATTTACTTACACACAGATAAGTCACATATAAATTATCATCCATTGATTTCTAAATCTAAATGTTAAAATGATATGGCTTTAATTTATTGAATATTATATTTCTAAGCAATTGAATTTAAAAGTTAATGGGGCTTATAAATTTTATGTAAAATTTACACATATATAAATATAAATTTTTTATTAGTTAAAATGATCAAGATGTTTTTGAATCAATTTATATATATTTCAAAACTAATTTTTCTCCAAAATGACATCAGAGGTACATACATCTTTTATGTTAATTTAATACATTTAAAAAAAATTAATTTTTTTAAATACTAACTCTAAAACTTAATCTCTAAACTTAGCATACTTACTAATCATCCTAGCCTTAGGGTTATATGTAGATTTTATCTCAATGTAGAAACTTAACTACATCAAGGCTTCATTTGAGAATGTTATACCGAGTTGGGCTGTTGTGGTGTTTTTTGAGAATTTTTTATTTTAAAAAAATATAAAATATTAATTAAAATTTTAAAAAATTTTAAAATATTAATTAAGATTAATTATTTATAATAAATTTATATTTTAAAATAATTTGTGAATACAACACTTCCAAACGAAGCGCATATGTGCTCCCATCCCAAAAAGAGCACACAAGAAAATCCCTAAATAAACTTGAGCACATCTGGTTCATTGTTGGCCCTCCCTATTTATATACCCCTTCAATAGCGTGCCCTCCGCAGAAGAGATAACAGAACTGCCATGAACATCTCTTTCTCTCTCTCTCTCTCTCTCTCTCTCTCTCTCTCCTTCCCATCTCCCTTCCATCCCTTCTCTCTCTCTCTTGTGGGAGTGGATGCATGAGCTGCTCTATACATATCGTGCACCAGAATCAGTTGAAGCTGCCAGCATGATCTAAACTTCCTTCTCTGTCAAGGATAGATCAGATCATGTGGTAGCTTCACCTGTTGATGGGATCACGAGATCAATCAGCGCAACGCTAGTTTTCATCATAAATTCATCAACACCGACATATCCCTTCCCATTCACAACTGTTTGGTTAATTTCTACTCAATTTTCATCCATGCCTCTCTTCCTAACGCATTATCTATCTCTATTATATTATTTTATCTTTCTTTTTTTTTAATTTTTCTTTTTTGCAGGGATATGATCCATATTCCCGTCCTACTTTTAATTTCTGAGACTCTTTCTGCCATTTTTTGGCCAACAAAATTCAGATATAACTGCTAGAGAAGAAACCAGTTACAGAGTAAAATTATGTTCTGCTTTATTTTTAGAATTTTCATACATATCTGCAGCCTTTTTTGTTCTTTTTTTTTTTTCTCTTGGCATTGAGTTGGACTGGGGAATCTTAACACAGCAGAGAGAGATTTGTGTTAGGGTTTTCAGTGGCAGAAATTCTTCTGTCGAAACATATATAATTGTTGCTTTTGAGATCCCTACATCTTATCCCCCATGTTCATAGCCTTTACATTTTCTTTTTCTTTTTCAAATTTGGCATAGTTTATCACGAGAAATGGTTGATTGGATGTTCAGGGTAACTTTGTGTACTTTGATATGTTGTTTTTGATGAAGAGTAATTCTTTTTTTTTTTGCCTTGATCCTATGAGCTGTCCCATGTATTTTTTGGGTCGGCAAGGAAAGATTGTTGTATTATCATTACAATGGACACTTCCACTTGTTACAAAACATAATATCTTTCAATGAAGGTAAGAGAGTGTTTAATTATTGAAAATTAGAGATAAAGAAAGTATGACTAAACATTTTTTTTTTTTTTGTTATCGTTTTATATATATGAGATTAGTATTTTGCTATCTACATTATATTAAACAACAAAATACAAATTCTTAGATGAGAGTTTGTCCCTTTAAGGAATGATGCACCTCATCTAATTATATTGCATAACTTTTTTTCAATATGTAAAATGTTCATTCTTTTGAAATCATAAAAGTGCATGTCCATGGAGATCATGAATCTAAGATGGTACTATACATATATGACCTCTCAAAAAAAAAAAAAGAAAAAAAGAAAAAAAGAGAGATAGTACCATATTATTACATCTATTATTCCATATGAACATAACCACAGCATTTTTGTTCATTGAACATAATTAATCAGTCTTATTATATCATTTGAGAAATTTATTTTTTTTATAATTTAATCAAGGAAACATTCTATATCCTGGTAGCCAGGGAAAGAAATCCTTTAATAACGTTAAACATACAGGATTCGAGTCACACTAATGGAATTTTGTAAATCATTTGCTGCTGTTGTTATTGTAGAGATCTCTCTCTGGTATATGAATATTCTTAAAAAAAAGATAGAAAACAAAATGCTGTTTCAAAAGCCTTGCTTCTATGGTGATGTGGTTGTTGCAAGTTGACACACCTGCTCCTATTGTCAGAAGCTTCGTTTTTGGCTAAGAATCCTTTCACCTTTCGCACCAAATCTCTCCTCTTCTTACCCTTTTTCATTATGCAATTGATACGTGTGCCATTTTTGGCAAGTATTTCTTCCCAACTTCTTTTCCTCTTTTTGTTAATTTTGTCCCTTTCTTTTAAGGTTTTTTCCTATCTCATTTTGTCACAAGTCATGATACAACTAATCCCTCACACTAACTGGAATGCATAATGATGCTGACTTTGATTGTAATTGTGTTTGATCCTTTCAAATGATAATCTGTTTACGAGACGAAGATTAGATTCCGTCCAGATTGATGAATTGGGATTTGTATTTAAGCCATTTAATTTTGTATAACCCGAGATCAAATATATTGAAAAAAAATTAAAATCAAATCCATCACCCAAATTAAAGTAAAGGAACCCAAATGGTTTATTAAAGGTTAAATCTCAAATTTGATCCCTCAACTATTAAACAGATTCCTGAATTAATCCTTAAACTAAAAAAATTTTTAATTTAATCCCTAAAATTTCCAAAATTTGCCCCAAATTATTCCTTCCTTAATTTTTTTGCATAAGTGTTCCGTTACATTAACGGAAGAATGACAACATGTCAAAACTTTAATACACTTAGGAAGACAGCAAGGCAAAAAATACTTAAAAAATGCCCTTTATTTTTTCCTTTTTCTTTT